CTCATACCCTAAATATAACGTGATGGTTTATAAACATTTCATTTCATTTCTTTAGGCACGAGCGCTATGGACATATACCAATCATCGAACTTAACCACTATCCTATGTGGCATATCCACAAGGGACTGATTGGACCAGTACATCGGGGTAACCCCCTACTCTTCTCGAAGGATGTACTGGGTTCTTTAAAGTGCATACGGAACAAATGCAAACACTGGGCCTACGGTTTAAAATCCTTGTCCGAGAAGACTTGTTCCACCACCGGAACCATTGGCGTGTGAGCCGTTCGAACCAGCGCCGACATTGTAGCTGAAGGTTACGGTGCCCCTGATTTAACCGCTTGGCCAATCAACGCCGCTATAATTTTCATAGGCTGTCTGACGGTTTCAATTTAGGCCTAGGCCTACACTAGGCTACTATTTAGTGATAAAAAATAAGACGCAGCTAATAAAATATATTAAGGGGGACTAAAACCTCTTTATTTACTCCCCCTATAAATCCTCTCCTCCCCGCCCCCGGGCGGTGGCAAAAAAAAATCTGGATCCGACTGTTTGCGATAATGTTAAGTAAGTTAATGATGAATGATAATGAGATGTTGTTGTTGTTGATGATGGTGATGATGATGATTATAATTAGAATCAAGATGATGAAAATGATGATGATGTTGATGATAATGATGATGATGAAGATGACGGCGACGATGTTCACGATCGAAGATAATATTATTATTAGCATTAAAAACATAAAATTTAAAATTTACTTAGCATTGTGCATATGGTGCGCTTCTATCTCATTATAAATTTTCAGAACGCGGCCATAATAATGTTGTGAGTCACCGCTTAACACTATTCGGAATTTCAAATAAGCACCAGTGTTCTCTACGCTACATATCCCTCAGGCCGTTTCCAATGAAATTATCATACTCTCATAAGTGCACTCTCTTTCATAATCAACTCGTTTAGTGAAAAGAACGACACGTCTAAGGTTATTTACGTTCACTGGAAATACGGTCTATATCATTCTGAAGGCAACTATTTTAAAAGGATGTTTAACTTGGACCTAATATTGGAACAATAGGATAGTATAACTGTATTTTCTGTACGTGCATACGAGTATTTCCATAGGCGAATGTTGTTGAAGTGGGATTATCCATTGCTTAGGTCATAGTTTATTCGCTAACATATTGCTAGCAATGACTGAGCCTATTCAAGTCACAGTAGCAGTTTTACTTAACTGAACCATCCATTAGTCTAGAAATAGACATTCAATTAATGATTGTAAAGATTTATTACATATTATTTAAATATTTCACTCAGAAAATTCTTATAATAAGAAAGGTTTTAAGGCGTGCTTTTAAAATTATTTATAAGATAGGTTTGATTAACTACCATATTGTGCCATATGGTAACAAATTTAGTATGTCGTTTAGAAAGAATAATCCATATTTTTGTTTTCATCACTTTAAGAATCCTGTATCGTTCTTACTAGAACAGGAGTAAAAAAAACATGGCGTCGCCTTCACGAAGAAGGAATATGGTTGTTAATCAAGAACACACAATTGAAGAGTGGCAGCACAGAGACAGGGTAAGCAAAGACAATTTAAATTCTTCAATTTTAAGCAAACAAAACCTGACAAATCATGGTCATAATTGGTTGATATATACCTTTTAAGCAGTGGATAGGCCAGATATTTATTGCTCGGTCTATTGCGTGTCGTATTCTCTGGGTTTTTTTTTCCAAAAATTTCTAAATTGGATGAGGAGATACCGTCATTTTCATTGACTCGGTATAGAGTTAGTAGAGGTTGAAATATTGAAAATTGGTTGAGACAACTAACGTTAATTAATGACTCGATAGTTTTTAGGGGATTGCAATAACGCCCTCCTCCATTTCCATTGTCGTACCTTCCTCTCTACATGTTTCCCAATATCAGGCCCTCGCATATTCCCTGTCATTTAATAATTATTAATTTATTGAATTAAATTATGCATATTATTATGCCAATTACCAGTTATATAATCATTTATAAACTAATTAAAAATGTAAAGTCAGATTTTACGTATCTTCTCCAAAACAATACTACCTACAATCTCACTAATCAACCAGGGTGATTTTTCTGAAATGCACTGCTAACTTTAAATCACATTGTAAGTGTAATGGGAATTACAACCAATCACATTCACTTAATGAAAATATCGAGCTTTACCGACACTGACGAATCACATTGTAAGTGTAATAACAATTACAACCAATCACGTTCATTTAATGTAAATACCAACTTACACGGTACTGACCAATCATATTTCACTTAACTGGAATTCAATTCCACTTAAGTGCAATTCAATTAGACTTAAGTGAAATTCAGTTACACTTAAGTGCAATTCAATTAGACTTAAGTGCAATTCAATTAGACTTAAATGCAATTCATTTGCACTTAAGTCTAATTCCACATAATGGAAATGCATTTACACTTAAATGCAAATGTATTTAACTTAAGTCAAAATCAAAATGTCAATTAGACTTAAGTGCAATTGAATTGCACTTAAGTGCAATTGAATTAGACTTAAATGCAATTCATTTGCACTTAAGTCTAATTCCACATAATGGAAATGCATTTACACTTAAATGCAAATGTATTTAACTTAAGTCAAAATCAAAATGTCAATTAGACTTAAGTGCAATTGAATTGCACTTAAGTGCAACTAAATTGCACTTAAGTCTAATTAATTGCACTTAAGTGTAATTTATTACACTTAAGTGGAATGTATTTCACTTAAGTGCAAATGAATTCCACTTAAGTGCATAACATTCTACTTAACTGTAATTCAGAGGTAAATGATAAAACGGCTTGCCATAGACCCGCTGGCACCGCACTTGCCTTGAAAATTTGCAGTTTGCCGAGAAGTTTCCAGTTGATTATAAATATTCATGCAAGCTATTGAGATTACATTATGCATGAGGCGACTGAGACCGAGGAAGAAGAGACTACCGTCTCGAATTAACTAAAGCTGAGCATTCACTGCGTCCGGTGGTCGCGCTACGACGTGCGCGCAACGATCGTTTTTAATGACGATCCGACCGCGTATTTTTTCTGCAGTACACACAAGCAACATAGATTTCTTTTAGCAATCAGAACATAGGAAGCCCACGATGACGTGAAAACATAATCGCTCTGATCATGGAGGTATTAAAATAATCCTCTATCTACTTTGCTCTGATGAAAAAAAGTATGGATCCTCTTTGTGTGGGCCGGATGAGGATAGTCAGTTCACAGAATTTAATAGGCAGGGGCGGATTTACGCCGCCCCCGCCCCCCCCCCCTTTTTTTGGGAGGTAACAAAAAAGAAAAAAAGAAATGAAAAGAAAAAAAATGAACATCTCAATGTTATTTTCGGGCGTCTAGCACACAAACATTTCGCGGGGGAACCCCTGGGATAGTGTTGTATCGATCGACCCAACTTTCGGTCCCCCCTTTTGGACATCTCTGGATTCGCCCCTGGTAGGCCAGTGTGTGCAATGAAGAGGAACAGGTATTGACCCTAAGATTTATGTAAGAAGCCTACACAAACGATTAACAAAAACATCATCAATCATCATTTTTGAAACTGCTAGTAGGCAAGTGTGTAGTGGTCAGAGTCTTGCGTCTAGGCTTAGTCTACTATTTGCTACCGTATCACTAGTCTAGGAATAGGCCTGTAGATCCTACTACTCTGGGTCTAATGTATAACGCAGGCTGTTGCTGTATTCTGTGCGCGTGGCCTAGATTATCATCATCGTTTGGTGGTATGTACATTGATGTATAACGCAGTCTGTGATTTATTGTTTTTCTTTTTTTATTTTGGGGAGCATCGGCAGTCTCGCTCTCTGCCCTTATTTTTAAATGAGGTTTTAAAACTGGGCGTTGGTCCTTTAATTAATTTTCTCTCTTCCTCTCTGTTCTGTCTGTTATTAGTAGGCTGGCACCTGCCTATTTCCTTAAGGCTTCATAATCAATTAAAATACCAGGGGCGGATTTTGGGGGGCCGGGCAAAAAAGGGGGAAAAAAGAAAGAAAAAGAAAAAATGATAGCCCACAACGCCTCAAATGTTATTTTCGGGCGTCTAGAACACAAAAATTTCGCGGGGCATGCCCCCGGACCCCGTAGGACGTTGTTGTCTCGATCGGCCCAAATTCCCCCCCCCCCTTT